GGGACACTGTTAACAGGGACAGGTATCTGGATAACTAAGGGACACTGTTAACAGGGACAGGTATCTGGATATTTAAGGGACACTGTTAACAGTGACAGGTATCTGGATAACTAAGGGACACTGTTAACAGGGACAGGTATCTGGATAACTAAGGGACATTGTTAACAGGGACAGGTATCTGGATATCTAAGGGACACTGTTAACAGGGACAGGTATCTGGATAATTAAGGGACACTGTTAACAGTGACAGGTGAACATTTAAACTGTATTTTACATGTTGTTCTGTTTGTTCAGACTGGACACAACTCGTGTGGAGTATATTATCCCCTTGCGTGAGAGTTTCTCCCTACCATTCCTGTGGGTACAGATAGCTGCCACCTCTTTCTACTTCAGACCCAGCAACAACCCTACCAAAGATGTGAGTCATATTCTACTGGTTCTCTAGAAATATCATAAAGCTATTACATGAAAATGGTAGTATATTGTATGTATCAGTAGGATTTTAACCCAAAAATAAAATGAATTGACTTTTCAAATCTGCTGTTTATTTTGAACTCACATCAGAGGTGCAGGTGCCCTATAGTAAACATGGTGTTCGTCCGTCCAGCTGTCTGTCAGTACTTTCTTTTACAGAATCCAAAAGAGTAATCTTTTTGAAGTTTGACATGGTGATACACTGTGATATGGTAGAAGAGCAATAAGGATTAAAAAATTCTGGGGGTACTAACAGGTGCATGGCAGGGCCCTTGCTGACCAGTCAGTGTTCTAATTAATTTACAATATACAGTTCACAGGGCTTCTAGGACTGCATTTTGGTAATGCATTTGTTACAATTAGTACTTCTTAGCTTACTGGCCAGTTTGTTTAGTATTCTATACCAGACTAATCATTATCTATTTGTACATTATTATGACAGAAACTGTCCATAGCCCTGAGCCTAGTGAGTACCTTCTTCTTTGCCCTGGGATGGCAGTTCAACCAGTTCATCATCCTTCTTCAGTCCTTTTCCCTGTTTGGTGTGTGGATTTTAGACCTTGTTCCCCCGAAGAAGGTAAGTGACACTGACTGACTGAGTAGATTTATCAGAAAACTACAAACATGATGGTCAATCATTTAAAGACAATTCATAAGAATGACTGTGAAGGTGAGGTCACACTTGTAGTCACACTTCCTAACGTCAGTGAAGGTGAGGTCACAAATGTAGTCACACTTCATAAGAATGACTGATTGTGGAATACATTGGATGTGAAGCACACCTTGGCCAAAGGTATTCAATGTTTTATAAATGAAATTGGTGGTGCTGTTGGGACATAGAGGTATGTCTTGAAGAGACTACTTCTTTAAAATTATCAGTCTGAAATCCTAAAATTGAGGGTCCTCTATGCAAATAATTTTTTAATTACTTTTGTAATTGTTCAATAAGAAATTACCATGAATCAATTTATGTTCTAGTTACTTAATATCACATACTATGCCTGAAGGCTTTGTTTAGCTACAATGCTTAAATTCACAGCACAGTTATTTCATTATTGATAATAAGTATCTATAGAAGTAATATTCATTGAAGATTTATGTTCACAAATTTGTCTTCTCGCCACTTTACATGAAAATTAATCTCTCGTACAATAAAATGATAAACAGTAATGTGTATATTGGTTTTACTGATGTGTTGTGTTCTCTTTCCACTATGTATACACCTGTGTCTGCTGTAGGTGAAGATGATGTTTTATATTGAGGCCATTTCCCTACTGGCAGTGTGTCTACTCCAGTTCATCAACAAAATGATCCTTGGATCGTTTGTGATGAGTTTTATACCAGCAGCTTTGTTCCTTATGTATATAAAGGTAAGAGATACAGGGATTTTTGTTGCGTATGTAAAGATACCCAAGCACTGCTCCATATAAAATATACTGTGAAATCATTAATATTTGTGGGTTTTTTAAATTCGTTGATTTCGTGAGTTATCTTCATCCACAAGTTCATAAGTCCACAAAATAGTTACAAGTTTAAGTGAGTGGGTACTGGCAATCCACAAATTCATGTACCCACAAAATTCTGTTTTTTCAGGAAATCGTGAAATTTGGGCCCCTACGAAAATATCTGATATCAGTAGGTATTTACTGGTGTAGTGCACTTTTAGATAAGAGGGTGATGACTTTCAGCATGTTCTCACAGATCTTTTGTGTATGTTTTCAGGGAGATGACATGAAGCTTTGCAGTATACCCTCCCGAATCTTTAAAGTGATATCTTACAGCACTGTAGTACTGATGTTAATGGTTTCTATCAACTTGTCAGTGAAGGTGAGGTCACACTTGTAGTCACACTTCCTAACGTCAGTGAAGGTGAGATCACCCTTATAGTCACACTTCCTAACGTTAGTGAAGGTGGTCACACTTCCTATAACTTACAGATAAGTGAGGTCACACTTGTAGCCACACTTCCTAATGTCAGTGAAGGTGCGGTCACACTTGTAGTCACGCTTCCTAACATCAGTGAAGGGGAAGTCACACTTGTAGTCAAACTTCCTATAACTTTCAGATAAGTGAGGTCACCCTTGTAGTCACACTTCCACACATCAGTGAAGGTGAGGTCGCACTTGTAGTCACACTTTCTAACGTCAGTGAAGGTAAGGTCACACTTGAAGTCACACTTCCTAACATCAGTGAAGGTGAGGTCAGACTTGTAGTCACACTTCCTAACGTCAGTGAAGGTGAAGTCACACTTGTAGTCACACTTCCTATAATTTTCAGATAAGTGAGGTCACACTTGTAGTCACACTTCTAACGTCAGTGAAGGTGAAGTCACACTTGTAGTCAAACTTCCTATAACTTTCAGATAAGTGAGGTCACACTTGTAGTCACACTTCTAACATCAGTGAAGGTGAGGTCACACTTGTAGTCTCACTTCCTAACGTCAGTGAAGGTAAGGTCACACTTGAAGTCACACTTCTAACGTCAGTGAAGGTAAGGTCACACTTGAAGTCACACTTCCTATAACTTACAGATAAGTTTTGAGTTTGAACACATTTACAGTCATACCTTATATAACTCATGGTGACAGTGTTTTGTCGGATACAGAAATCAGTATTTTGGTAAGAATTTTTCTTAATTTTGTGATTTATGCAGATACAGTAAAAAAGTCAGTGTACACAAAACGGGACACTTGTGACAAAGCAACCCAAGAAACTGACATGCAATACCAAAAAAGTATTTTAACATATGCAATTTTCACTCAAGGTTTTTATGTCAATTAATCTGTATACTATTTGTATACTATTATTGGTTACTGATTATGTCACACAGACAGTTTAAGATTTGAAATTATTATGAAACCATAGCTTTCATAATGTATGTGTCATGCAACACTAGTTATTTAGATATCATTTTCAGAAACTTTTTTTTCAAAACTAATGCAAGTTCGGAGAAGAAATTTAATCAGAACATTCTTGAACTCTAAATTATTTGACCTGTGTGTGAGTTTTTGCTTATATTCATCATTTATTCCCAAATATTAGCCAAAACACTAGTGTGTCCATCTCCGGGTACAGTTACACCTGTTTAATAGCCTACGTGACCAGGATACTATGTTGTGATCTATTTATGGAACCATGCGCTGGAAATATCTACTTGTCAAGAAAAGAAAAGTGGGCAATATCTACTTATGAAAAATCAAACATTTTAGGAATTTATACAATGGTATTATATACGTCAGTATTTCACTAAAAAGTGTCTGGTTTTGGAATCCTGAAGTTTTTTAAAAAAAAAAAAATATTTTAGTTCAGGCATATCAAAATTTTACACTTTTTACATAATAATATAGGTAAGCAATTGGGTCACATCATAAAGAACAGAGGTGAAGGAATCGTGAGGTTTCTAACTGAGAAAACAGGTGTAAAAGGGAAAACCCATGTAAAAGGTTCACAAAACACTACCGAGAGAATTGAGGGCGAAATTGTTTGATGAAAGTCAATAGGGAACAAGGATAGTATTTTCATAGTTTATTGTATATATAGGTACATTGAATTACATGCTCATAAGGGAAAATGTGAAAAAGTCCCCAAAAAACTTGTGTGCTGACATTTTGTAAATTATAAACTAGACAAGTGATATCAAAACATCAATAGAAACCTATGACGAAGTCATTGAAATAATTTTCTTCTTAACCTCTTTATTTTTCAGGTTCTAATCAATGTAGAAGCAGATGAACATATATACAAATTTGTGCTGTCTAAATTTGGAATAGGCAATCCTAGGTAAGTATATTCTACAAATGTCATCAACGACCAAGTTCGAACACTGTAACCAATATTCCTAAATATTTGATATTTTCTCTGACATGTTGTTAGTATAAATTTCTCGTCATGATTGGTGTCAATTTCATTAATTTCTCATTATTAATAAGAATTTTTACCATTGTAGATGAAATATGGAAAAAGTTGCACAATGATTTTCCAGTAACCCATATTTAATAGTGCTAGTGCTTTAGTAAGTGAAGGTACAGAATGAGACTTGTGGGTAATTTAGAGTGCACTGTTTTTAACCTATCGATATTCCCCTGTAGTAAAGGCCACATCAACCATAGAGGTCAAAGGGGAAGTTAATCTAAAACGGCTTGTCAGTGTCTTTATAAAATACTTAAAAGTTTTTCTACAGCCTAACTGTCACATGAATCTGTCCAATGATGTTGTGTGTTTGCATGAATCTGTCCAATGATGTTGTGTGTTAACATGAATCTGTCCAATGTACTATGGTGTGTGTTTAGATGAATCTGTCCAATGTACTATGGTGTGTGTTTAGATGAATCTGTCCAATGTACTATGGTGTGTGTTTACATAAATCTGTCCAATGTACTATGTTGTGCGTTTACATGAATCTGTCCAATGTACTATGGTGTGTGTTTAGATGAATCTGTCCAATGTACTATGGTGTGTGTTTAGATGAATCTGTCCAATGTACTATGGTGTGTGTTTACATAAATCTGTCCAATGTACTATGGTGTGTGTTTACATAAATCTGTCCAATGTACTATGTTGTGTGTTTACATGAATCTGTCCAATGTACTACGGTGTGTGTTTACATGAATCTGTCCAATGTACTATGTTGTGTGTATACATGAATCTGTCCAATGTACTATGTTGTGTATTTACATGAATCTGTCCAATGATGTTGTGTGTTAACATGAATCTGTCCAATGTACTATGGTGTGTGTATACATGAATCTGTCCAATGTACTATGGTGTGTGTATACATGAATCTGTCCAATGTACTATGGTGTGTGTATACATGAATCTGTCCAATGTACTATGGTGTGTGTATACATGAATCTGTCCAATGTACTATGGTGTGTGTATACATGAATCTGTCCAATGTACTATGTTGTGTATTTACATGAATCTGTCCAATGATGTTGTGTGTTAACATGAATCTGTCCAATGTACTATGGTGTGTGTATACATGAATCTGTCCAATGTACTATGGTGTGTGTTTACATGAATCAGTCCAATGTACTATGGTGTGTGTTTACATAAATCTGTCCAATGTACTATGGTGTGTGTTTACATGAATCTGTCTAATGTGCTATGGTGTGTGTTTACCAGGGACTTTGATTCACGGATATACCTGTGTTTGGAGGCGTTTAACTTCCTGTCGTTTGATACTTACGAGAGACTGACAAAAGGCATGGTGTTCCCTTTCTATGTGGCTACGCACGCGGTCCTGCTCATAGTGCTGTGTGTAGCTGTTCTTCAGAACTGGAGGTGGGTTTAGTTCGATAACATTGGAATATGGAGACCTATTTACGATCATTGGAACAAAACATTGTACACATGTAAAACAAATTGAGATATCATAATCACAGAATCTGCAATGAGTTTCTGCAACTTTATATATGCTAAAAAAGAAAAACTTCCATAGACTGTCATGTATCAATTTTGTTCTTATACCATTAATCATCAGTTTAAATTGTATTATTTTTAGGTCACCTGAGACAAAGTCTCAAGTGACCCATTGCGATCGCCTTTTGTCCGTTGTGCGTCCGTAAACAATTTATATTTTCGACTTCTTCTTCAAAAACCACTGAGCCAATTTCAATGAAATGTTGCAAGAACCTTCCATGGACAAAGGTCAACTAAAGTAGTTGCCGGTTTAATCCCAAGCCCCCAGGGGCCTGAGGGGCGCGGCCAAAAAGGGTCAAATTGACTACAAAAAAAAAAATCTTCTTCTCAAGACCCAGATATGGTAGAATAAAATACTCTCATAGATGGAAGGGTCTTAAGGTGCTTTACCAAAATTGTGAATTTCTTGACCCTGGGGTCTCGCGTTTTCCCCTGGGGAGGGGGTAAACTTTCCTATAGTTTATTTAGGGAAATCACATTTTGGACCAACACTTGTTTAACTTCCATTGGAAGTTATTCAATTTGGGTTAGCATTATCAGTATTGGATAGCAGTTTGATGGTATATGCACATATCAGCCCTGACTGACCCCCTGGGGCTGATGGGTGGGGCCAAAAAGGGTTGATTTGACTGAAATTTCAAAAATCTTCTTCTCAAAGACCCAGATATGGTAGAATCAAACACTCTTCATAGATGGAAGGGTCTTAAGGTTTATGACCCTAGGGTCTCACGTTTACACCCTGGGAAAGGAGGGGGGGAGGCATTATTTATTATGGTTTATAATGGCAAATGATACTTTGAATATTACATGTTAATAACTTGATTGGAGTTATAACCTTGAGTTGACAGTTTGATACTTTGAGAATTTTGAGCCAGCCCTACCCCAAGGGCTGTAGGGTGGGGCCCAAAGGAGTCGGTGTGCTATAATTTCTTCATTTTCCTTGTTAAGAATCAGAGGTGCTAGTTTCAAATACTTTTTAGTCTTAAATCTGTATGCTAGATATTGAATAAGGTGGTTTTATTGTTTTTTGTCACTTTGAATAATATTTCTGTACATGTTAAAAACAAAATCAACTCTCTGTATAAATATATCAGGTGACCGTTAAGGCCCATGGGCCTCTTGTTATCTTAAATAACTGTGGTTTCAAAAATAATTGAATTCATTTTGCTTTTCAGTAATCATGTTCATGATTCAACAGTAAAAGACACTGCTAGTACAAAGAAGTCCCATCTCCTTAGTAACAGACCAGAACTAGCATACCATATAGGTAGGTCACTCCTCCTTGGTAACAGACCAGAACTAGCATAACATATAGGTAGGACACACCTCCTTAGTAACAGACCAGAACTAGCATACCATATAGGTAGGTCACACCTCCTTGGTAACAGACCTGAACTAGCATAACATACAGGTAGGTCACACCTCCTTGGTAACAGACCAGAACTAGCATACCATATAGGTAGGTCACACCTCCTTGGTAACAGACCAGAACTAGCATACCATATAGGTAGGTCACACCTCCTTAGTAACAGACCAGAACTAGCATAACATATAGGTAGGTCACACCTCCTTAGTAACAGACCAGAACTAGCATAACATATAGGTAGGTCACACCTCCTTAGTAACAGACTAGAACTAGCATACCATATAGGTAGGTCACACCTCCTTAGTAACAGACCAGAACTAGCATAACATATAGGTAGGTCACATCTCCTTAGTAACAAACCAGAACTAGCATAACATCTAGGTAGGTCACACCTCCTTGGTAACAGACCAGAACTAGCATAACATACAGGTAGGTCACACCTCTTGGTAACAGACCAGAACTAGCGTATCATATAGTAACTGGCACACTGTACAAGTAGGTCACATCTCCGTAGTAACAGACCAGAACTAGCATACCATACAGGTAGGTCACATCTCCGTAGTAATAGACCAGAACAGGCACACTGTACAAGTAGGTCACATCTCCATAGTAACACACCAGAACAGGCACACTGTACAAGTAGGTCACATCTCCGTAGTAACAGACCAGAACAGCCACACTGTACAAGTAGGTCACTTCATCTTCTTTAAAAATAATGGCAGATACTGGATAGTTGTTCTTTAACATAACTCAAGCTTTGTTGTTTAAGAGGCCACAGATACTTCTCTTAATCTGATTTGCTTATTGAAACAATACAATGTCCATACATTGCAGTGTAATAGTGTCAAAGTGAAAAAGGTCATTTTACAAAATTCTCTTATTTTTGTATTGTCAGAAATGCAAAACAATAACAAGTCATTCTTAACTTAACCAGCAAAAAATCTGTAAAGGATAAAAGACCACTGCCAGTTATAATCTAAATCAAAATACATGAACAGACTTCTGTCTGATCCACGGTCAGTAACATCTTACTTTGTTTGGCCAGATAACTTTCATCACTTATACAAACTTTTTATGTTTTTGGTTACAGTGCAGACAGTGTTTTTTGGTGTGTTAGCCATGTCTACACTGCGAATGAAGTACCTATGGACTCCTTACATGTGTATACTTGCAAGCTTTGGAATCAGTGATTACCGCATGTGGAGGACTGTCCTTGCTCATCTAAAAACACAGGGCATGATGGTAGGTCCCTCTTACTGTACATACCCAGGGTGTAATGGTAGTTCCCTCATACTGTACATACACAGGGTGTAATGGTAGGTCCCTCTTACTGTACATATACAGGGTGTAATGGTAGGTCCCTCATACTGTACATATACAGGATATAATGGTAGGTCCCTCATACTGTACATACACAGAGTGTAATGGTAGGTCCCTCTTACTGTACATACACAGGGTATAATGGTAGGTCTCTCATACTGTACAAAACAGGGTGTAATGGTAGGTCCCTCATACTGTACATATACAGGGTGTAATGGTAGGTCTCTCTTACTGTACATACACACGGTGTAATGGTAGGTATTTCTTACTGTAAATATACATGGTGTAATGGTAAGTATCTCTTACTGTACATACCCAGGGTGTAATGGTAAGCCTCTCTTACTGTACATAGACAAGGTGTAATGGTAGGTCTCTCTTACTGTACATACACAGGGTGTAATGGTAGGTATTTCTTACTGTAAATATACATGGTGTAATGGTAAGTCTCTCTTACTGTACATACACAGGGTGTAATGGTAGGTCTCTCTTACTGTACATACACAGAGTGTAATTGTAGGTCTCTCTTACTGTACATACACAGGGTGTAATGGTAGGTCTCTCTTACTGTCCATACACAGGGTGTAATGGTAAGTCTCTCTTACTGTACATACACAGGGTGTAATGGTAGGTCCCTCTCACTGTACATACACAGAGTGTAATGGTAGGTCCCTCTTACTGTACATACCCAGGGTGTAATGGTAGGTCCATCTTACTGTGCATACCCAGGGTGTAATGGTAGGTCCCTCTTACTGTACATACACAGTGTAATGGTAGGTCTCTCTTACTGTACATACACAAGGTGTAATGGTAGGTCCCTCTTACTGTACATACACAGAGTGTAATGGTAGGTCCCTCTTACTGTACATACACAGGGTGTAATGGTAGGTCTCTCTTACTGTACATACACAGGGTGTAATGGTAGGTCCCTCTTACTGTACATACACAGGGTGTAATGGTAGGTCTCTCTTACTGTACATACACAGGGTGTAATGGTAGGTCCCTCTTACTGTACATACACAGGGTGTAATGGTAGGTCTCTCTTACTGTACATACACAGGGTGTAATGGTAGGTCCCTCTTACTGTACATACACAGGGTGTAATGGTAGGTCTCTCTTACTGTACATACACAGGGTGTAATGGTAGGTCCCTCTTACTGTACATACACAGGGTGTAATGGTAGGTCTCTCTTACTGTACATACACAGGGTGTAATGGTAGGTCCCTCTTACTGTACATACACAGGGTGTAATGGTAGGTCTCTCTTACTGTACATACACAGGGTGTAATGGTAGGTCCCTCTTACTGTACATACACAGGGTGTAATGGTAGGTCTCTCTTACTGTACATACACAGGGTGTAATGGTAGGTCCCTCTTACTGTACATACACAGGGTGTAATGGTAGGTCTCTCTTACTGTACATACACAGGGTGTAATGGTAGGTCCCTCTTACTGTACATACACAGGGTGTAATGGTAGGTCTCTCTTACTGTACATACACAGGGTGTAATGGTAGGTCCCTCTTACTGTACATACACAGGGTGTAATGGTAGGTCCCTCTTACTGTACATACACAGGGTGTAATGGTAGGTCCCTCTTACTGTACATACACAGGGTGTAATGGTAGGTCCCTCTTACTGTACATACACAGGGTGTAATGGTAGGTCCCTCTTACTGTACATACACAGGGTGTAATGGTAGGTCCCTCTTACTGTACATACACAGGGTGTAATGGTAGGTCCCTCTTACTGTACATACACAGGGTGTAATGGTAGGTCTCTCTTACTGTACATACACAGGGTATAATGGTAGGTCCCTCTTACTGTACATACACAGGGTATAATGGTAGGTCTCTCTTACTGTACATACATAGGGTATAATGGTAGGTCCCTCTTACTGTACATACACAGGGTGTAATGGTAGGTCCCTCTTACTGTACATACACAGAGTGTAATGGTAGGTCCCTCTTACTGTACATACACAGGGTGTAATGGTAGGTCTCTCTTACTGTACATACACAGGGTGTAACAGTAGGTCTCTCTTACTGTACATACACAGGGTATAATGGTAGGTCCCTCTTACTGTACATACACAGAGTGTAATGGTAGGTCCCTCTTACTTTACATACACAGGGTGTAATGGTAGGTCTCTCTTACTGTACATAGACAGGGTGTAATGGTAGGTCTCTCTTACTGTACATACGCAGTGTAATGGTAGGTCTCTCTTACTGTACATACACAGGGTGTAATGGATGGGCCCTCTTGTAACGGCAGGTCTCTCTTACTGTACATACACAGGGTGTAATGGTAGGTCTCTCTTACTGTACATACACAGTGTAATGGTAGGTCTCTCTTACTGTACATGTACAGGGTGTAATGGTAGGTCCCTTTTACTGTACATACACAGGGTGTAATGGATGGGCCCTCTTACTGTACATACACAGGGTATAATGGTAGGTCCCTCTTACTGTACATACACAGGGTGTAATGGTAGGTCCCTCTTACTGTACATACACAGGGTGTAATGGTAGGTCTCTCTTACTGTACATACACAGGGTGTAATGGTAGGTCCCTCTTACTGTACATACACAGGGTGTAATGGTAGGTCCCTCTTACTGTACATACACAGGGTGTAACGGTAGGTCCCTCTTGCTGTAATGCTTTAGGGTGGTATGGTCTCTGTGTGTGGGTTGAGGGGAAGTGTAAGGCCTCAGGGTGGTATGGGGTCTGTGTCACGGAGGAGGGGAAGTATAAGGCCTCAGGGTGGTATGGTCTCTGTGTCATGGTGGAGGGAAAGTATAAGGCATCAGGGTGGTATGGTCTCTGTGTGTGGGTTGAGGGGAAGTGTAGGGCCTCAGGGTGGTATGGTCCCTGTGTCTGATTGGAGGGAAAGTGTAAGGCCTCAGGGTGGTATGGTCTCTGTGTCTGGGTGGAGGGGAAGGATAAGGCCACAGGGTGGTATGGTCTCTGTGTGTGCGTTGAGGGGAAGTGTAGGGCCTCAGGGTGGTATGGTCCCTGTGTCTGGGTGGAGGGGAAGTATAAGGCCTCAGGGTGGTATGGTTTCTGTGTCTGGGTGGAGGGAAAGTGTAAGGCCTCAGGGTTGCATGGTCTCTGTGTCTGAGTGGAGGGAAAGTGTAAGGCCTCAGGGTGGTATGGTCTCTGTGTCTGGGTGGAGGGGAAGTGTAAGTTCTCAGGGTGGTATGGTCTCTGTGTCTGGGTGGAGGGGAAGTATAAGGCCTCAGGGTGGTATGGTCTCTGTGTCACGGTGGAGGGGAAGTATAAGGCATCAGGGTGGTATGGTCTCTGTGTCTGGGGGATGGAAAGTGTGAGGCATCAGGGTGGTATGGTCTCTGTGTGTGGGTGGAGGGGAAGTGTAAGGCATCAGGGTTGCATGGTTTCTATGTCTGGGGGATGGGAAGTGTAAGGCATCAGGGTTGCATGGTCTCTATGTCTGGGGGATGGAAAGTGTGAGGCATCAGGGTTGCATGGTCTCTATGTCTGGGGGATGGAAAGTGTGAGGCATCAGGGTTGCATGGTCTCTGTGTCTGGGTGGAGGGGAAGTATAAGGCCTCAGGGTTGCATGGTCTCTGTGTCTAGGTGGAGGGGAAGTATAAGGCCACAGGGTGGTATGGTCTCTATGTCTGGGGGATGGGAAGTGTAAGGCATCAGGGTTGCATGGTCTCTATGTCTGGGGGATGGAAAGTGTGAGGCATCAGGGTTGCATGGTCTCTATGTCTGGGGGATGGAAAGTGTGAGGCATCAGGGTTGCATGGTCTCTGTGTCTGGGTGGAGGGGAAGTATAAGGCCTCAGGGTTGCATGGTCTCTGTGTCTAGGTGGAGGGGAAGTATAAGGCCACAGGGTGGTATGGTCTCTATGTCTGGGGGATGGGAAGTGTAAGGCATCAGGGTTGCATGGTCTCTATGTCTGGGGGATGGAAAGTGTGAGGCATCAGGGTTGCATGGTCTCTGTGTCTGGGTGGAGGGGAAGTATAAGGCCTCAGGGTTGCATGGTCTCTGTGTCTAGGTGGAGGGGAAGTATAAGGCCACAGGGTGGTATGGTCTCTATGTCTGGGGGATGGGAAGTGTAAGGCATCAGGGTTGCATGGTCTCTATGTCTGGGGGATGGAAAGTGTGAGGCATCAGGGTTGCATGGTCTCTGTGTCTGGGTGGAGGGGAAGTATAAGGCCTCAGGGTTGCATGGTCTCTGTGTCTAGGTGGAGGGGAAGTATAAGGCCACAGGGTGGTATGGTCTCTATGTCTGGGGGATGGGAAGTGTAAGGCATCAGGGTTGCATGGTCTCTATGTCTGGGGGATGGAAAGTGTGAGGCATCAGGGTTGTATGGTCTCTGTGTGTGGGTGGAGGGGAAGTGTAAGGCATCAGGGTTGCATGGTTTCTATGGTTGGGGGATAGGAAGTGTAAGGCATCAGGGTTGCATGGTCTCTATGTCTGGGGGATGGAAAGTGTGAGGCCTCAGGGTTGCATGGTCTCTGTGTCTGTGGGGAGGGAAAGTATAAGGCATCAGGGTTGCTAGGTCTCTGTGTCTGGGTGGAGGGGAAGTATAAGGCATCAGGGTGGTATGGTATCTGTGTCTGGGGGATGGGAAGTGTAAGACCTCAGGGTGGTATGGGGTCAGTGTCTGGGGGATGGAAAGTGTGAGGCATCAGGGTTGCATGGTCTCTGTGTCTGGGTGGAGGGGAGGTATAAGGCCTCAGGGTTGCATGGTCTCTGTGTCTGGGTGGAGGGGAAGTATAAGGCCTCAGGGTTGCATGGTCTCTGTGTCTGGGGGGAGGGGAAGGATAAGGCCTCAGGGTGGCATGGTCTCTGTCTGTTGGTGGAGGGGAAGTGTAAGGCCACAGGGGGGTATGGTCTCTGTGTCTGGGTGGAGGGGAAGTATAAGGCCTCAGGGTGGTATGGTCTCTGTGTC